ACATTGTCAAGTTTATCTGTTGAATAATTCACTGGGGTATATAACATGGGCACATATCCTCCTAACTTGATGGTTCCATAGTGCTGCGGTTAGTACGTCTGCCTCAGAAACAGAGAGCAGGAAGTCCTGGGTCCCATTCTCAGAGGAACCATATTCTTGGCGCCTGTTACAGCAGATCTGTTTTCAACACAATGATGAGTCATTTTCCTCTATGTTTTCACCAGGACTCCCACGTGTGCGTTTTATGTGTGGCGTCACAGAAGTGGTGAAGCTGGAGCGTTGGGTGTTCAAGTCCTCCGGTGGGATCCACCTGAGTCGACAGCAGCTGCCGCTCAAACTGGCCTGGGCCATCTCCATCCACAAGAGCCAGGTGAGTCCAGTGTGTCCCAGCAGAGGCAGCCGTGTGGACCTCAGCCAGATGACCTCACGGTCAAGTTTATCCAGTTTCCTTTTGAATATATGATAAATATCATCGCTAAAAACTTTCTCCCTCAGACTAATGTTGTCTTTTGTAATGCTTTGCCATAATACCTTGCAGAACAATACATTTGTCCGTCTGTCTTTCTGAGTCATCTTCTGACTCAAGGTCAATTAGTCTGGTCTGTCTCTCTCGCTCTCTCTCCAGCCATGACGTTAAAATCCTCAGGAGAGAAACAAATGTAATGCAGTTCTTGTTTCAATAAGTCCTTTCATCCAAAGAAATCCCAAGAATTATTCGTCTGTAATTTTGTTTTTGTCCTAAGGGCAGAATGTCTGTGTGACTACAGATGGATAGTCAGAGGAATGTATCAATGGATAATTTAGCTTGTTTGCAGGAGACATATCCAGAATTATATATACACATATATATATGAATAAATAAAATGGCTTTAATGTATATGTTCTTTACAAATGATCCCTCATAGTAATTGAGTTCATTGGTCACAGGTGTCATGTCACTACCATTTACTTAACACAGGAAAGGTTATTAAAGAGGAATCTCCCAGCATCCCCTCTGAATGAGAAGGTCATAAATAATGCAGTGGAGAAGATGAATGTGGAGGAGCGTTAATGTCTGTGTGGATCGGAACATTAAAACTTTTTTTTGGAATTGCTTGCTGCTAATGAGATGCAGGTGCTAAGTGCGGGTGGGTATTCAAACATGGTTTTGTCATTTCTTTGTGGTTCGTCATCCTTTCCTTGTTTTATTTTAATTTTCTTTTTCAGAGAATTTTCACGTCATCGTTTGTGGAACACTTCAAATGTCTTTGTGTCATCGTCAATTTTATATCATTATTTTTAGCTTATGCTAATGCAGTTTTCTCTCTCATCATTATTTGATCATTAATTCATTCATTAATTCCCTCACAGCCTTTTGCTGCTGTCATCCTCACAACACGTCTCCTGTTGTTCTGTTTCAGGGAATGACTCTGGACTGTGTGGAGATCTCTCTGGCACGGGTGTTTGAGTGTGGTCAGGCCTACGTGGCTTTGTCCAGAGCTCGAAACCTGGAGGGTCTGAGGGTCATGGACTTCAACCAGCGTGTAGTGCGGGCAGATCCAGATGTTTTGCTCTTCTACAAAAAACTGAGAAAGGAGAGGCTCCTCATGCAGGTCAGTACCGTACTGTGGTCTAATTACATGACCGATTATATGTCCGATTAATGTTTATTTTCTTCTGACCATCATCCACAGGCTTCCATGGATGATTTTATGTGCGACAAGGAAAACTCTTGATGAGAAGGATGTCGTCTCCTCAACTGCTGTCATGTTGTGCACTGTGTGCACATCTTTTTTTTTTTTTTCCTCCCTCGAATGTTGAACACGTTTTTAAATGTCTACTCTGAAGGCATTCGCCATCTACTACCTGGTATTTTTTGGGAGTATTTGAAGCCACACTGCCACCATGTGTTCAACGACAAGATACTTCAGCACCTTATTTTTTTTACATTTTTTATTTATGTTTGGAATCTTGAATTCAAATAAAGTTTTAATTATGTTTAATTTGTTCATATTGTGGGACTATTTAATCATATTCATTATAATATTGTTTATGGCAAAATATTAGAGGTATGAATTTAAATTCACATGAAGGGAAACAAACATATCATGAACCAAAGTGCAACTTGAGAGTTTCACAACAAAAACCTTTATTTATGAAATAACTGTGATCTGACCAAACCTGAGATTGTTTTTTTTTCCATATGGAAGTAGAAAAATGGATATGTTCTAACAAAGAGACAACAAAGCTTAAGCTCTTCTTTCAACACCTATCATCACAAGCATTGAATCACAGCCTATAGTCTGAGTCCTGTACATACTGTACATCTGTGTTGTTTAAAAAGGTATTTCATAACCATTGGAAAACAGTTATTACAAAGAGTAAGTTGGAGCCATTCAAGAAAATCCCACACCACAGCGGTTGCATAAAATGGGCAGCTGCAATTACTGGAAATTGGTCTAATGGATCATTTCATATGATGGAAGAGCTTGTGCGACACCTACGGTGAAAAAAGAAAACAGTTGTCATTGTTGGTGATGCATTAGGCCAATATTGTGTTGTAAACATAAGTATGACAAAGTTAAAAAAGAAAAAAATATTTCTGTATGTTAAACTTACACAATGGTCCCGTGCATGCAGAAAGTCAAAAAGCTCCTCTGTACAGTCCTCCTCAGTGTGGGACTTGGAGCTGACCCGTGCTTCACAGATCTCCAGACGCTGCTTGTAGTGGACACAGTGTTCAGTCTCCTCACACTTAGCTCGTATCGCTTCTATCGGATCCTGACAAAATCAACAGAGGATACATGACACAGATTATCAGAAAAAAACAGTATAAGGGGGGAAGGTATTCGATTTTGTACTGTAATGTTGTTATGAAAACAATACTATATAGCAGACATGCTAGACATGCAGGCAAACTATGTTCTGGGGGCCCGGATACAGCTGGTTAGGCAAACGCAAACCTGTGCCAACCTCCACAGCAATTTAGAAACTGACTGTCACCACTATACACACTAGGAAAAAACCTGAAGTTGCAACAAATGATGTATCCCTAAAGTCAATGTTTGGAATGGGGGAAAAACAGACTTTAAAAGAAGATATGATGATAAACTTGGAGTTCTAAAAAACATTCCATAACCTATGAGCAGCAAAGAAACTTACCACTAAATCTTCTTCCTCCTCTTCTTCTTCTTCTTCCTCCTCCTCCTTCTCCTCTTCTTCTTTTTCTTCTACCTCCTCTTCTGGAGCATCTTCTTCCTATTTAGGCAGTTTGAAATATACAAATTTCATTCTTAAAAAAATGGTGCAAAACTTTTAGCAGTTTTACGATAACATTGTTTTATTCTAAGTTAGTTGCATTTTTTTTCAAATTAACTGTTAAGATTAATAAATAAAATTATTAAACTTGCAGCAGAGTCAGGCGTAAACTTCAGCTATATCTATCGTGCTGTGAGTAACTTAGTCAAAAAAAGCAAAGAGAAAAAGCAACTTAAAAAAATAATGTTTTTCTGTTCTACCTCGTCGTCGGGGTCGCCGTTAGTGATCATTTTCCTCTCGAAGACCATGATTAAATTTATGAAACTTTACAAATACACAGAGGACAGGAGGTCACGCCGAACAATTGCACTACTGCTTGAGGAGGACCTAAAGGCCGACACACAGGAAACTACAGGAACGATCACAGGATAGCGTTTCCTATTGGTCGTAATATGTGATTGACGTAACGTTTAACGAATTCGCAGCTTAGTTTATAAGTCCCGCCCTATTACAATTCTTCCAAGAGGAACTTCCATGTTAGTTGTCTGAGTGACGTCGGAGCCCAAAAGCAGTTGCACAAGAAAGATGGCGCTGCTTATGAACACAAGACTTTTACTGAGGCAAATGAAAGACTTAAGAAATGTGATTCCGAAAAGAAACAGAGTAAAAGCAAAATGGGTATGTTGTATATTATTGTTTTATATATAACAATTATAAATGTTAGCATTTAATATTCACGCCACTCGCTGTAAAGTACAGCGATACCGTACAGTATTCATGCAATTTGGTAAAACTTATAGTGTATATAAGAGCTGGTTCTGCATATTTAATATTGCCATATAGCCATACACAAGTAAAAGAAAATCTTTCATTCAACAAAATGTAGTAATTTTGTATAAAAGCCTAGAGATGTAAAGCTTTTAATTACACACACGGAGCGCATTTGGAATAGGGAAAAAAACCCCAGTGTCACACCAATGTTGTTAAATGACAAATTATTTTCAACAGGCTGCTACCCGTCCTAAATATCCTCCCACGCAACTGGCTTTGGGACACTTTGACGCAACCTACGGTGGCCAGATGGGGGAGCTGTGGCCATCGATCCGTGTTGCCTTGCTCTCAGAGAGAAAATACGGAGCCCTGGTTAATAATTTCTGTCATGATGCTGTTCAAGACGACTTACAGGCGATGGGATGTAGAGACTTTATTGACGACGCAGATACAGAGGGTAAATATGCCTTTGTAAGGATAAAAGTGCATCTCTATTCTGTTTTTTATTTATTTTTCAGAACATGATTTTATCTAGGACACGTGGATGGCAATGCTATTTCATTATTTAGTTCAGATTCTGTACATCAATGTAAGTGGTAGAAAACACTGTATTTTAAGATGCAAACTACCATACATTATTTTCTCCTATCCAGCTCAGCCAAGCTATAAACCAGAATCTGCAAGTGATGTAAACAACCACTTAAATGATGGTCCCACGCAGAGTTCTGATGTTGACGATCCACCGCCATCTCCCTTGAAACTGAGTCCCAACATCAGGTGTATGGTGTTTCCCAGAGGGGATATCACAAGATTTAAGCCTGCCAGGTGAGCTTATCAAACTATAAAATACACAACTGATTATTAAAAGCCCCCAGCTCACCATGGTGATGGGTCAAAATCAGAGGACGAATTTCATTGTGTCGGGTGTTGTGCATCAATGACAACTATTAACTTTCACTTCACTATGTACAGTATATACATGTGTTTGTATACAGTATATGTATACGTTTGTTTATATATAAATATACCATATATTGTATATATTGTATATCAACATATGTGGCTGGTCATTTTATTTCTAGACCAGACATGGAGGGATTATTGCCATATTACTTGCTGGATGCAGCCTCTGTGCTGCCTTGTCTTGCACTGAACATTGAAGAAGGTCACACTGTGCTCGACCTGTGTGCAGCCCCTGGAGGAAAGACCATGGCTCTACTTCAAACCAACGCCATCAGTAAGTGGACTGGACTTTACTTCATGTAAACATATGTCTTCTGTTAAAAACATTTTGATAATTTCCCTAACATTTGTGAATTTGGAAAAGGGTTTTTGTGTGCCAACGACTCTTCGAGAACTCGGACAGCGCGACTCAGAAAAGTCCTTCAAAGCTACATTCCTAAGGAGCTTCGTTCTGAAGAACACCTGCGAATCACTTCCCTTGATGGCACCTATTGGGGGGACGTTGAAAGGAACACTTTTGACAGAGTAAGTCTCAGGTGTATACAGTGGTCCCTCTCTATATCACGGCTCTCCTTTCGCTTCCTCTGTTTTTTTGTTTTTTTAATTCTAATCTCGTATAGTTTCACTTTATCGTGGTATTTTAAATAATTTTCTAACCTAAAAAAATTAATAGGTGAGATGTTGATGGATTTTTTTGACCTCCTTCATTTTTGGCTTTAGGTCCTTGTTGATGTTCCCTGCACAACAGACAGACACTCAGTAACAGAGGATGACAACAATATATTTAATAGAAGCAGAACCAAAGAGAGACAGACGCTGCCACAGCTGCAGGTGGCCCTGTTGCTGTAAGTACCAAGACTGTGTTTCCAATATGAGCTTGGGTCCTGGACCCTGATCAAGATTCTTTTTTGCCCTTGAAAATACGTGTCCATACATGTGTGACATTTATATACATAATACAATTTGTGTCAATCCTAACCTTGACTCTACTTTTCTGTCCCTGGCACAAAGAGCTGGAATTGTAGCAGCATGTCCAGGTGGGCAGATCGTGTACTCCACCTGCACGCTTTCTAACACCCAGAACCTGCGTGTTGTGGAGCAAGCTGTCCATTTAGCCCAAGAAAACCATGCCATCAAAGTTGAGGTCAGTTGGACACAGTTATCATCTGCATTGTTATTATAGATATTATAGTAATAATATAGTAATGTCTATTATAGATATTTAAAGTGTACAAATACAAAGTCAAACCAGTGTTTGGTTGCAGAGACAGATATGTTAACACCTCTGGGTATTTTCATGAACACTTTTTTTCTGGCATTTACCTCTAGGTTGTCAATCTGAAGCCCCTCACCCACATGTTTAGAAAAACTTTTCACTTTGCTTCCGACCTCTCCGTGGGCGAAATGGTTATCCCACATTTGGCTTCAAACTTTGGACCGATCTACATGTGCAAACTCAAGAGGCTGACATAAAGTGGAGAGTTTCAAGACTTTGGACAAATATAGTTAATAATGACTTTACTTCAGTAATTGATTTTAATTAAACTGACCTGCGGGACAGCTTCCAACTTCAGAGCTGTGGGCAATTTCGGAAACACCAATATGCAGTACAAATTATGATACTTGAGCCATCCATGTATTTGCGTGCAGATTTACTTTTTGGCCGCTAGGTGGCAACAGAGTAAAGATAAAATGCGTGTTGTATACCCACGTCTTCTCCAGATACACTGTCCCACCTCTTGTGTGTGTTCTACATGAAGATTCATTTTCCAGGGTGCTGAATCACATTATAGAAACACACATTTCTCTCAGAGTTATATGTGTGTGTGTGTGTTTGTTTTTTAACTCCAGTGAAAATAGGTCTGAATATCTTTCCATGGTTGTTTTTTCAGATTTGATGCACTTGTCTAATAATGCAGTTAGTGGCTGTGTGGAAGGAGAGCATAATGAACAGGCAGGTAATGACTTATTTGACCATTTGAATCTGTGCAAGTTTCATTATTATAGCTGGATTGAGTCTGTTTGCATTGGCATCACCTAAAAGTGTAATGTGTCCTCTTATCACAACCTTAATGTGAGCAGCGCAGAGGTGCCTTTTTCTCCATCACACCGCCGATGACCCTTTATGTTGTCCTGCCCAGGCAATGTATGGTAAAAAAGGTGTGTGTGTGTGTGTGTCTCTCTCTCTCTAATGAGTCCACCATCCACGTCTTGCTGTCATTAAGCAGCTCCAAGTGCAGGAGCCCGACTCCCATCCCTGTGCAGGAATGGACTGCAGCCATGCGGCTCCCAGATGAACATTAAAGAGGCAGCAAAGAGCTAAAATAGGATGTGTCGCCCCGTTTTGCCCCTGCGCTTTTTTATTCCACAGATGAGTGCAGATAATTTTCTGTGCGATTGTGAGTGATTACTGTATTACTGTGGTAAAAGGGGGATGTATCAGGGAATGCAGAGGGAATTAATGACACATAAAAACTATTTTTGTATTGACTGCTTTCGTCTCCAGGGTCCTGAATGGCTCCTTGCACATCTTGTGATTACCTAAACGTATTGTAAATATGTGTTTCCTATGGGCCCTTCCATAAATTTACATGTTTTAACACTCAGGAGACAACAGACAGTTGAGATGACTTACTCGCTCTCTTCCGTCTGTCTATAGACTCCACTGCTCTGCTCTCCGCTTTATTATTGAATTAACCAATGAAGCGCTCTGAGTGTGTATCCTTCTGTGTAAGCCATTGTTAGGGGAACATGTGCAGTGCATTAGAAAGATGACTATTATGGATTTGACGACACCACGGTGATTCGGCCATGCTCTCAAATACAAATGTTGCATTTCTGTCAATAAAGACGCAAGACGCCATTACCGTCGTACATCTTCTCCTCGTATGACACACGGTACTGTACTGAATATATATGAGCCTCAGTCCCTGCAGTAATGAACTCCTGCAGCAGGTCATTAAATGGCAGCACATGGTGAAAGCAACTTAACTCAAGGGTTTTCCACCAAATATGACTCATCCATAAACGTCTTCATTTCAACACACTGCTCAAGGTAAAGTCGTCTGCAGTTTGATAAGTCTGCAGTTTGATAAATATATATATATATATATATATATATATATATATATATGTAATTTGTTTGTCTAAAATACATGTTACTGTTCCTCATGTATTTCTGAGATGAAGATCAGACCAGCGTGGATGAGAGGACGAGAGAATTTCAGCAGTTTCATTTTCTTGCAGAGGTCCATCCAAAGTCTGGTGTGGGGGCCAACCCTAGTCCGTCTTATGAAGGTCATACATATGAAATGGAGTTAAGAGATAATACTAATTTCAAATTATTTATTTACCTTGTTTACATTTTATGTAGAATGGGGTCATTTTACATTATGATCTAGACCATAGCAATCTTATTGTAGGAAACAAAACCAACCTCAGCCAAAATAAAGCCTCAGCCTCAAATACATGCATCTGGAAATAAACTAGACTTCAGGGTTGGTGGTGGTGGAGGGCTGAATGTGAGGTTTAAACACTGAACTAAACATGTTAGATTTCTTTCACAAAAGTTAAAATGAGGCTTCTTTAATATTTAGTCAAATGATTTTCACACTTTCTAAATAAAGTGCTCAGTACAACTAGGGCTATTTCACTCCAAAACTTACAACAGGTTCCTGTGTTGTCAGTGTGCGAGCTAAGCTTTCACCGACAGACTCGATACTGCGTGCAGTTGCTGAGAGCACTCCCGTTACGTGAGGCCTGCATTGGAAATGCAAGCATAGGTTTAGGCTGCAGACAGATTAAGAAGACAGAGAATGGGGGGTTTTCTTCTCTCTAAGGAGATTAAGCAGGGAGGGGCGAGGTGGCAGTCAGAGTGTTAAAGAAAGAAAAGGACAAGAAGAAAATGCAAGATGAAGTGGAACTAAAGGAGGGTGGCCCAGGATGTGCAGTTTAGACACCTGTTGTTTTGCCTCTTGTTGTCAATTCTTTCGTTGGTTTACCTTCTCAGGCTGTTGCTGTTATCTATTTTTCCTCTGTTCGGTGGTGAACGCGACCAATTAAAAGCCGGTAGAAAAAACTTTCATTGTGATGGAAGAGTATTGTTGCCGTGTCAAGACGCCTTCAGGCCTCATGTAAAAGACATTTTAGTGCAGTGTAAAGCCTTTTTTCCACTCCCTTTTCGCTGCAGCTGTGAGCCCGATTATACTTGTGTTTCCCTCTCTGCTAAGTTCCTGCTGGTGGTTTCCAGGAGGGCTTTGATGTGTATCTGGGCAATGCACTATTAGAGGGATTTCCCTGGGCCTGACAGCTCACAGAATATGCAGTGAAATGGCAATGCCAGTGGGCTAAAAGAATGCTGGAAACAGGATTAGGATCATATTCTGGCAGACCCTGTCACCTCCTGAATAGGCCAGGGTTTCTAACGCTGGCACTTTTCATTCTGTCCGTGGTTAAAACCTTTAGGAGAACCATGGAGAGGAGGGAGGAAAGGCACTGATTGAATAGTACACTCTATGAGTGTGTGTGTGTGTGTATTCAATGTTTTGAAATACCTTTATTTTTGAAGGCTGTGTTTTAAAACGCTGTGTTTCAGTCAGGATACTTAGATATACAAAAAACGTATAGGCGATCACAGTCAGGATACTTAGATATACAAAAAAATGTATAGGCCATGTAATGTTTTGTTTTGTTTAAAAAAAAAGAAATGTAGTCATTACTTCCGTTCCTATAGTGCAAATGTAACCTGATTTCCGCCTTAAGTCTAAAGCCACATATTGTTCACCCAGGACATTAAAACATTAGAAGAGCCGGACTTATGCTTGGGAGCCATAATGTAGGGGGAAACGTTTGTTGTTGATGGCAGGGCAGGACTGACCCATGTCAAGCCATCCCTAGTATCTACTGATACTAGGAGAACAGATATTCACTGGAGTGTTTATCCCACTTGGACAACTCTTTCCAAACCCTGTGGATAGAAGTTGATTTTTATTTATGTGGTATCTTCTGTAAGTAACTGAATTTTTTTTAGTTTCTGATTTGAAGCTTCAGTGGTAATATGACCTAATTTATTTAGTTACTTACATTGTCAGGTAAACATAACCCTGAATTTAAGTGTCTGTCTGAGCATTCGCATTTGTTCTGGCGTACACATTTACACACACACACACAGATGTATACAGTACATGTCATCACTTGCTTAAAGCAAAGTAGATGGAGATGTGCTGCGTCTATAAATAGGTGGTTATGGCATTAGTGGAAATACAGCCCTGAGTGTTAGAGATGGAAGCACCTGATCCAGCACCAAGGGCTCCACACACTTGACCCTGCAGCACTACAATATACCAATCCCTGTTCAACCCCCGGGGTGTGTGTCTATGTGTGTGTGTGTGTGGCTGTTGAGTAAAGAGGAAACATTTGGAACAAGAATATTGTGTTGTGCTTTCTGGTGCAAAGCCCCATGGGAGGAAATCCTGGTGTGTAGCTGGACAGATTCCTCCCCTGGATAACAAGGACATTCATCGCAGCTGCATATCCACACCACAATCTTATCAGTCACACAATCGGATGCCCTTGGCTGAGGACACACACACACACACATAGGTGGTGTAATAAAACACAACAAGGTTAGGGTGAGGTGTTACACCCACATTAACGCTGCTAATCTCCTCACATCATTATCCCCCTTTATCCAGTTTTGAGGATGTGGTCATTCATAACCGTTGTAAACATGGCAGCCTGTTATTTACACCCACTGTGGGGGACGGGGGGGGGGGTAAGTTAAAGAGCAGTTCAATTAACAGCAGAGCAGTGTCGGGCTGACAGGACAATCCCTGCTAAGTTTATAGCAGGAGGAACAAGGGCAGATTTTGGAGGGTGCATGGGAGAGATGCCCGACTGGCCCACATGTTTGTGTGAGGGGGAGCAGGGTCGGGTGGGGGGTGTGTGTGTGTGTGTTTTGACAATCCATGCTGCTGAAGATATAATAGCAGAATAATCACAGCCCCAGGCCGTCATTCTTCAGGATAATGGCCTGCTTATTCATAGGGGATGGCTTACGTCTCCACGCCTCACTTTATTTTTCACTAACATTGTTCTTTTCCTGTGACTCCTGCTCTTGGAAACATTACGTTCCATTTGGATTTTTTTTTGTAATTGTTTGTATTAACCTGACCTTCTCACCACTGTTGTTGCTGCTCTCCTCTCCCTATAGTTGTCTTGTTCCTCTGTTACATTACAGAGGATAAAGATTGGTTTAGTATTTCTGCATAATTTGAATTTCGTCCTCTATTTTGATCACATTTTTTTCCTGTTATTCTTTGTCCTTTCCAGGATATGAAAATGTGACAAAGCCATGGCTAGACCTACAGGAGACTGCAGCTGCTCCACGGGTGAAGCCATGTAAGACTTCTTGATTTATTATTGCAGTAAACAGTTTTTATTGTATGTATTTATTTTCCTTTTACATACAGGAAGATAATAGATAAAGAACAAATAGTGACAGATATGGACGCCTGAGGTGACAATATGTGATTGACAGCTAGAGATCGTCCAATCCTTGCACCTCCAGTAGGCGTCACCAACTTTGTTATCAAGAACAAATGTCTATCTTCCTTGTAAATCAGATTTTTATTAATCTTATTATCATGGTCCGTTGGGGAACAACTATAATTATAGATGCAACCATATAGTGGTCAGGAATATAAACATCGTCTGGTGAATGATGCCAACACTGCCAAGTCAAAAAGCAGAACATTTACCTGCAGCTGACGATTGACCAGGCATGGTGATAAAGTGTTTTGGTAGATTTTTACTGAAATCAGACTAAGTGATGAACAAAGTGTAAAACAAAGACAGAAACGTTTTCCTAATAAATATCTTCAAGCAAGGTTTTTATTTCATGGATATTTTACATCAACACTGGGTCAGGGCTACATCGTCAGGGAGGAGTAAAGGAAACAACACTGCTGATGGTCCGATCACACTCTCCATTATTAACACAGCTATCTACCACTGGACCATACAGTTAAACAGAGACAGACGGGGCCACAGCATTAGAATAAGAGCAACAACTTAAATAAAGTCAGGGCAGCGGAACACAAAGGACCGGGCCTTTTTTATTTTTTTATTTTTTAGACGTCAGGTTTTTCTTGTCTGGCTCGATTGCAGACCACAAACAGTGACAATGTGCAGCCGGTTCCATTTCACTGCCTCTGTCTCCATCAGTTCCAGAGAAGAAACTTGGAAGATAAAAAATATAGATTGAACTCAGGACAGTTACACAGACGACCAAAAGAGGACAAAAGGGAGCAGGGCTCTGCAGGGTCAGGGACTTGTGCAGATACAATCTTACAATCTGACAGCTACATGAGTTTGGTCTGTGAACGTTACCGGCTGTACAACGTAATAGGGACTTTACAATCACCCTACAAGTAACATTTATAGATAAAGTTTTTTGTTATTTTACATAATAAAATAATGTGCCTTTTTCATACGAAGACTTTACTTGTCAGAAAACATTAGAGACCCTTGTGAATCTCCTCACCAAGTGCTAACAGTCGACCTGACTTTTCAGTGAAATTCTGCGTGTTTCCTTAAAAATATGTTAAGGCAAGAATTAAAAAGAAAAACAGACAAATTTGATGTATTTTTAAAATATTTTTTCCATTGATATTAATTGAATTTTACTCAGGTTAAATGTATTTCCAATTGGCGGGTTTATATGGGAAGCATTAAATGGTATGCATGCTTATAACTGCATCTGCCACCGCTCCCTCAGCCCAGGGCAAAATGTAATTAAAAGCTTTGAGAATTTATTCACTGAAATCATTTTCTCATTATGAAGCCAGCCTCTGTACAAAGTGGCATTATTACTGGCCATTAAACTGGCAAATTAGTCACGTTTAATTATGCTGTTGAGGGAAACATGGCTGCAGTTTATTTTTATTTATGTGCCGTTGTGTAGTACATGCTATGTACATAAATGTCTTTCACTAATTGAAATGTCGATGGTCTCTCTCTCTCCCTCCCTCCCTCTCTGTTGTAAGAGTGATGCCTTCTGTTTTTCTTTGCCTAGTTCCGCCCAAAGTGCCACAAATATTCACATTTGTCTTGTAAACATTGTTTGCATTGTCTTTTGTACTGAGTGCATTCATCGTCAGCTTTTCACATTATCAGAAGTCAAACTTTTTTTTTTCTATTCTTCTTATCGATCCAGGTGAGAAGGAGGTTGAACTTTACATGCCCGTTGAAAATCATCACATACTTTTGTTTTGAAGACACTGACTTGATCTGTTGAATCTTTTTATAGCAACGATGACTAACTTTGACCTAAGGTCTTAGGAGTGTGATGAGTTTTGTAAGTGAATGTATTAAGTTATTTGATTTATTCCAGTCTGTGATGGCATGGGTTATTCTAGGACACCTCTGCTTCCTCGGTCTTCTCACATAGAGCATCAGTGTACAGCTCCTGAATATCTATCACAGTCGGGTAGACACAAAGCAGGACATCCTTCAGATATTTCTCTTGTTTGCTCAGTTAGACATTGTGTCCAGTCCCAGGGAGGCGGCGTGCTGCTTGGCTCTCAGACGCAAGTTCTCAATGCTGGTCGTCTTGCTGTTGTGGCCGGCGAGGCCGCCGGCAGCTGACGCCTGCAGCAGTGGGCTGTTCCACACCTGCTGGGCATGATGGGACAGGGACTGGTAGTAGGACTGACAGGGAAGAGACCCCAGAGGAGCTGGAGGCATGTTGACATTCATTCCTAGGTAGGGAAGCGAAGGCGGGGCAGCGAGGTCAAATGTGGGGTAATGCACCAGGTTGTTGGTGGCGGCCATGTGCTGACGGAACTGCTCCTGCAGACGAAACAGGCTGAGAGGAGATGAGGAGTAAGAGTGACCCTGAGGGAGAGGTCCGCTGCTGGGCAGGCCACTGCTGGATGAGGGGGTCACAGATGGAGAGACCAGAGGAGAGTCTGGGCAGAGAGAAGAGACCATTTAGTCCAGTGTTACATGCTTTTAAATCTGAATTCAAGTTTATTGTCAGAATAATTCATCTCGGGTCCTCACCTGGTTTAGGACTGAGTCCTTTGCACGGGGAGACGTCCCCAGGAGTCACCGCTCTCTCACACTTTATGTCCTCTCTTTGAGACTTGCTCTCCTCCTCCTTATCTGTGCCATTATCCTCTGTTGCAGACTCGCTGCCTGAATGTTCTGCAGAAGTGACGTTCAGCTCAACTTCCAGCGGCGCGGGACAGGCCAACGGGCCGTCTGTCTCCAGAGAGGATGAGGACGAGGAAGAGGATGACGGAGGCAGCTGGGTGTCAGGAAGGACGGTCGTGGACGGAGCTGCATCTTCTTTGTCATTTCCTCCTTCCCCCGACGCCTCCTTCTGTTTCTGGAGCTGCTCCTTCTGAAGGCTACGCTGCTTCTTGCGGAACTTGGCCCTGCGGTTCTTGAACCAGACCTAAGGACAGTGGGAACAGGTAAGTGGAATTCAGCCTATGAGTATGACCATATGTGGCAAACTTTTGTTAGGGTTCCCCACAATGTTATAGTTGACTGTAGATTGTGTACAAGATGCAGCCATATCTCTTGTTAGTGTTAGGAGGTGAAAACCAAGGAAAACACTACAGAAAATAGGGCGGTCACTTCCATTTAAAAACATCAGTAAACACTTCCCTTAAAAATCTAAAACATACGTCAGTCAAACCATAAAGCCAGTCGTTTTAAATCAATATTATTCTTTAGACGTGTGTCTACCTGCACTCTGGCCTCGGGCAGGTTAGTGCACATGGCCAGCCGTTCTCTCATAACCACGTCTGGGTAGTGGGTTTTCTGGAAGGTCTTCTCCAGCGCCTCCAGCTGCTGCGCGGTGAAGGCCGTGCGGCTGCGCCGCTGTTTGCGGTGCTGAGAACCGTAACGAGCCTCCAGGATGATGTCTGAAAATGCGCAGCCGTTGGAAGAAAAAAAAACTTTAATTTTTGGGGACGTTGATTGACAGTTATTAATATATAGTGAGCAGTTAACAAAGTCATAAAAAGAGTAGTTTTTGACAATATTTCATAATTTACTTAATAATTGTGTATTGGCCATTTTTTTTTCCTCTTCAAACATTGGTTCAGTGAACCAGGTTTGTTGCGTTGCCAGATCAGTCAATAATTTACAGTCAAACAAAAAACTTTTTTTTCACACTGATTTGGTTTTTAGGAACCAAGTTATCCAGAAATTTCCATCTTGTACAGACGAATATTTTTTAAAGACGAAGAAATTAAAGATTAAAAAACATTTTATTGATACAACATATTGATATTTAAATGATAAATTATTTAAACGCTGTGTTGCTATTATACTCTTCTATTTTGATGTGATATTAACCTGTTTGACAATTACTCTGTGTGTGAATCGAACTTTTTTGGTTAGTTTGATGGTTTTACTGCACCATATAATACAGTATACAGTCGTTCAGAGGATTCTGTGTTGGTCTGTGTGTGGACATGTGCGCGAGCGTGTTCTTCTTACCAGCCAGTCTTTCCGCCAACGTAAGCGCGTGCACGGAGGGCCGGTAGTCGGGAGCGTGCTGCGCTTGTTGAGCAGCCTGCTGATGCAGGTTGTACATGGCGCTGAGGGAGTTCATGGCGTGCAGAGAGTAACCGTTCACCCCGTAGTGCTGCATGATGGGAGGTCGATACCTGCGGAGGAGACAATAGGATGAGGATGGATGAGATGCTCACAGCTGCAGAGTCAGACCGGCAGAGAGTCGCCTTTTTTTTGTTTTGTTTGCAGTGTAACAGACTGCATCTCACTCCCTAAGGCTCTGACCAATAGGAGTCATGAAAAACAAATCAGTCGAGGTTTGGAATTGACGCCGGGATCAAATGAGCCTCGTCTGGTGGGGAAGAGCGATTGCTTTTTGATTTATTTATTTTTTTGTTAGTTTTTTTTATTTGATTTATTTATTTTTTTTGTTAGTTGTTTTTTATTAAAACGCTGTGTTTCCCAGTCTTGACATCGTTCAACTTAATGTCTTATCAAATAGACTTCAACCTCACTGAGATCTAACCTGGTTAAATACATGATTCAGAGCGTCTACATCTCAACGTGGCCATCGGTCACGATGTGCGCTCAGGCTCACATAACTGTTATCCATTAACATCCAATTATCACCTTGTTCATCCCATTAATTATACAAAAAGACTTTTAATTGGAGTCATTTTTCTGCTCATTACCATAATGAAGCGGAACGGAGGCTTTTGTTCAGTAAATGCATTCAAGTGTTTGATCCGCACAGAAGATCAAATCCTCTGCTGAAAACCTCCTCCTGACACATCAGGGCTCTGATCAGATGTCATGGAGAATTATATTTAAGGAGATTATCATTTGTCCCAGCTATAGGTAGGAACAACTGGAACCACATGTAGAGAGAGATATTAATATTATAATAAGTGCCATAATATATTTAAAAACATTTCGCTTGTTTAAAAAAAGATAAGTTGATGCAACCGGGAAATATGGTCTTTACAAATGATGCACTTCCGTTTCCAAAATTCTATTTTTTATCTTAGTTCTTCGAGGCCGAGTTTTTTTTTTTTTCCGTACAGACGAAGCGCTTGAGGACACGATTAGATATGTATTAGCAGGGAGAAGGCAAAAGTCTCTGAGGCCCAAACACTTTTACAGACGGAGCAGAGGGAACAGATGTAAATGTGTATGTGTGGCACCTGTTTATGGAGCAAAACTGACTGTTAGTAAAATATTTTACAATGTATTCACCAGAGTTTTGGAGATGAGTTAGATTAGTCAGACTGCCCCGTTTTATTATTCTTCTTTTTAGCTCACCGAATTATATACATTTAAAATAATTTAAAAAAAACATTCTTAATAACATGAAATAAAAACAATGACGTTGAGCGTGCAAAATGTATTTTTATGACTTAATTATAATTTATTTCAGTAATATTGCAACACGTTTACATGCTCGCATACTAAAATATAAGTACGTCATAAAAATGTTTAATATATTATTATTAACATAATATAAACTATACAAATCCTGTTATTCTGATTTTTTTAATGACAATACATTTCCTCATATATAAACACTTATTTAATTAATTTTGGAAACTCTTATTCAATCCTGTCGCTATACTGAGCGGTACTGATGATCATTTTCATACACGGCCTCATATATGTATATATGTATTCTTTCAAATATACGGAAAATATACTATATTAATATACTATAATATTTAACACCTGAAACCTTATGATATTTCTATGTTTTATCTGTATTATATTATATTTATATATTATATTTTATTTGGGTGTGTTGGTTGTAAAGTGTTATAAATACTTTGATTAATTTTAATGCTATTTTTGCAGCATTTGTATTGAGATGTTTTCTGTTGAAAACATTTTTTTTTTTTTGCTAAAACAGAAAAACTCCGGGTTAGTCTTTTTCTTGTTTTAAAATGTAGTTTTCTCTCATTTTTACTTCTCCTAGGCGCATTGCAGTGTGTGTGTGTATCTCTGTGTGTGTGTCTGAGACCGTGTGTGTGTGTGTGCGTGCGTGCCCGCAGTGCCCATTCCCAGCCTATTAAGTGGCTGCGGCGGCTGATGAATGTGATCAGAGGGCAGTGGGGAATGGTTTAATTCGCCGGGACAGAAGGTGCTTCGCTAAACATTTACTTTAGTCCCCCAAGTATTTGAGTTGAATGGGTCCCCCCTTGCCCCGTCCCCCCGCCTCCCCTCTTGCCTCTCTGGCGGCCTCTTATCCCATCGCCCCGGGGCAACGTTTTGGCTGAGATGTATTGCTTCTCCGCGGGTAAAAATATGCATGTTGATCCCCATTTGGCTCCCCGTCTAATGGAAGTGCAAATAGGTTTCGACTGCGAGGCCCTCCATTTATCATCACCGCTGACACGGACGGACGTACAGTGGGAGTGGGTGGCTAGCTGTGGCTTTGGAGTTACCTTGTGTGCGCACGCATGGGGGACGGGGGGGGGGGGGGGGGGGGGGGGGGCGCACGTGTGAGTGTGCGTGTGGTACTGTAGGATTGTTGTAGATGTCTGATAAATAAAACACAATACAAAAAAAAACTTTGACCATATGCAAATCAGGTATTCTCAAAGACTGGGTCTGGGCCCATTGTTAGGTCAACACTTGTTTTGGATGTTGCCAAATATCTAACAGATGTTGCTGAAGATGAGGTGAGGAGTGTGTTGAGTGTTATGGATTAAGTTCAGGGACACGAGGACATGAATATTAGTTAATCAACTCTATGGAGTTTCATCATCATATGTTGATTCACACTAAAAAAAAAAAAGAGGTGTCGATGGATATGTGTCTAGTAAAGACTAACACAACACAATAATGAAACGTTACTGTTGTTCTGGAACTGTCTGTCAGATGTTTGTACAGCAATAGTTCTTTAAGGAGGACTGTGAGGCCCAGGCTCTGACAGAATAGCACTGTCTTAGACTTCTGTCTGCTGGGGTGGGTGTAATCAGCGTGCAAGAATTAGCATAAATCTGGATGAGTAAGCAAATACATTCTAAAAGCTCAATAATCAGGTAAGGTGTTTTGTCATCACATTATAGAGCATTATTAAGAGGCGACAGAGCCATAGATTGAACACACTGTCCTGCAGTTGGAACCTGAGTCAAACATAAACAACCTGACAATATGTTGAAGTTGACCAGCATACAATTCTAGTGATTTATCTTGATGCATTAATAGTATGACTCTTTTAGTTTCCGCCCTTAAAAAATATTTATTTTTTAATTAATCCTGTTTGTCTGCAAAATCAGTGTTCACTTAGCGACTTAATATGGCCTTATGTGTATGGACAGCAGTCCAAAAGGTGTCGTTTTAATTTTTTTTTTACAAACAAACAAAATATTTTACAAACAAACAAAATATGTTAACTGAAAATAATGTTTTTGTACCTTTATTACAAAATATAGAGTGGCTGAAGTATTGAGTAAAACAGATAATAATATCTCATTTCTGATACAACTGTACAGATATTCTGGATGTTTAAGCATCATTAAATATACTTTAAATGTTTAAATGCAAAAAGTATCTTTAGATTTAAACTAGATTGATGCTACAAAGTTAAGATGTGCGGTTTCTTGTTGATTTATCGGGATGTTCATAGGAGAAAATTGTCTTTAGTTAGAAACATAATTATTTTATATTAGTTAAATATCTTAAGTGTCAGTTTGTTGAGTCTTATTACAAATATTTTGCCGCTTATGAGTTGATCTCTTAAACAAACCTGTCTAAAGTCTAACTTCGTTTAAAACAGATTTCCATAATATTTTTAACACCAACAACCTGAAATCCCATTTTTTTATTCCACTTATTTCTGTGTTCATTCGGCTTTGACTTCGTACCACCGAGTGTCTGCCCTCCCACGCGTGATTAGCACTCCACTTTCTGCTTCTATGCTCTGTGTCCCGCTCACCATATCAAATTCAGCACAATAGCTCATCAGTGTGAGTCTGTCACCGCTGTTATTGTCATTCATAAGCCTCGACCTGCTCCAGGCGCTGCGCCCTCCTGCAGCAGCCCCGCTCAATGCTTCGATTATCAAACCGTCATTATGTAAATTGGCATGTACAGTGCAACTCTTTGATCCGACTAAATGAGGAAAAATGTTATTTGCCAGCAGGGCCCCCGGGGGCCACGAGCCACGACCTGACAATCTGCTCTTTGCTGTGTCACTAAAGTGTGACCTGTCAGAGGCCACGGAGGAGCATCTTTGATTTTTTTCTTACATGTCTGTGACATGTTATTATCAGGGATATTTGTTATTCAGGTGGAGCAGACTTTAAAGGGACTCCCGTGGTTTTTTTTACTATTTAAATAATTACTAACTTAGTGGTAATCGTACACTTTTAGCAGTGATATAGTAGTATAAAAAATACACCCTGGGTAATAACTGGTTCGCTTAAAAATGTATAACATTTTATTCTGAAAAACAAACATTGAAATGGGCATCCTCGTGAAAATTTTCCGTGTAAAACAATTCAAAATATGTCGTCAATTAATTTGTTCAACATTTTCACTGTCAGTTTTTCCAGTTTTCAGACATTCATTCATTTTTTCAATTCAGAAAATAATGTTTCTTTTAATAGTTTCGTTTTACGGCTCTCCGTTAAAAGAGAGAGTGTTTGACTGTCACCTGTGATGTCAGCTTTAAATGTCACCGTAAATGCTGCCTCAGGCTCCACGTTTGTTTATTGCTGGATTTATTCGTTTTATATAAACCGTCTTCACCTCCGTGCGTTTTTAATAGGCAACAACACAGACTTTTTAAAAATACATTTTTAGTTTTAGTGAAAGTCTAATTTTCTCTATTTATCCTATTAATCGTTCCATATTTCCAACACTGTAATTTGTTTCTGTCTATTGAGTTTCTTTAAAACACGCTGTATCGATTCAGCAATCAATAATAATCGTATTATTATTATTACACGTTGTCCAGCAGTAGTAGTACTTATAGTAGAATTAATAAATGAAGTAAATGGAATAAATACGTTTGAGTAGTACTTATAGTAGAATTAATAAATTAAGTAAATGGAATAAATCGCACGTGTTGATATGTTGTTAAACATCTAACAAAGCAAACTAGTTTTTTTGCACTATTTTAGACCGTCTAAAAAATAAATATTTTTATTCAAACCTCGACTTATATTTAAACTCTTGCAGTTAAAAAACAGTTTGTTACCTCTTGTGGAGGCTCAGCTCTTTCTTCCACTTCTTCCAAACAGAGAATCCTCCTTTGGCGGATCAGTGTAGTTTCTGTAATTTGAAATGAACTCGTAGTTTTTAAAAGTCCTCCAGTCTTCTTCTTCTTCTTCTCTTTTTACTTCTTCTTCTTCTTCACTCTGTTGCCTCCTCTCTCTCGCTGCACCTGTGTCTCTCGCTCTCTTCTCCTCCGTTCCTCCTGCTCCTCACAGAAACCGCCATCTGCTGCTGCTCAGCCTCCGCATCTTTATAAAGAGCAGCCCGCTGCTGCTGATGCTGGCTTCTCATTGGCTGTGCGCGCTGTCAATTAAGAGCAAAGGATTTGCGGTTGAAAACGACCGTCTCTGAAGCTGCACAGACTTGGCAGACTTTTTCTTCCAAATGTGATCAATTTAAGCCCATTATGTCTGATAACTGTCTCCGTGTCTGCACACAATTCTTCTTCTTGTGCTCAGGAAACAAGAAGACGCCATTCGGCACACGTATTTAACTGACTGTCAATATACAAACACCCCAAAAAATAAATATATGCAGCTGAGTTTTTCACAGAGCTAACCTGAACTGGCCCAGGGACAGACAGAATTATATTTATATTTTTTACTGACATGCAGCCATAAATAGGAAGGTCCGTATCTTATATCCACTGAAGTTGGATTAGACACGGTTTTTCTGCATTTCAACTAATCTCTTAAAGTTACGTCACATCTATTAATAATATAATTCGATACATGTTCTGTATTTAGAAACTACACTGAGTCATTGAGGCTCTGGGAAAACAGAAATTGGTTTGTACATAAATCATAGATTAATATAGAAATGACACAGAACTGACGGTCTTTTCTAGTCACTGATGTTTATGTTTATGATAATTATGATTTTATGTTGGTTCCCAAAACAGATAGGGACTTATTCATGTTACATTTGAGCTTTGAGGTTAAAAATTAAAATTTTCCATCAACTCAGGCTCAGTAACTTTTATTATATATGACACTGCTCAACTGTGTTGTATTGTTTAATTTATATTTTCTTAAAATTACTTGCGCTTAAAGAGATTCCAGAGTGTTTTTTTCTTGGCACATTTATTCACAGCCCCTTTAAAAACATTCTCACCATGACCCATCTGTGGGTCCTGACCCAGTGTTTGCAGATGACCATGACAAAGAAACCAGCTCCTTTCTTCAGGTTTCGGTAAAGAAAAAATAACGACTCTTTAGTGTGTTTGCTCTTCGGATTTTTTTTTCTCCTCCGACGCCACTGGAGGAGAAGGAGAGACTTTAGACAGAGAGATGACTAATAGATGCCAGGGCGCTGCCTTTAGACTTTTCCCGGCCAGGAAGGATTTGGGATGGGATAGGGAAGACAAGACGCCATCTCAGCCACTAAAAAAACCCTGTCTTAAAATGACTGCGGGTAAGAGGATTAGGGCAATAATGCCCTTCTCTTCTTGAAGGGTTTTTAGAGAAGATTTCTTCTCCCGGAGCAAAACCGTTTAGGTGGGGAATTAAGGGCAGTCCAAAGTAGCCCTTTAATGTAAAGCTTGCATATTTTGCGGGAGAGGTTTTTTTTCTCCTTTCGGCAAAATATACTATATAAGCAATGACCGTTATTTCTAACACTTTATTTCTTTAATTGCCTGAACGGAACGCAATTTTTTTGGATGTTAACATTTATTCTTCTTTTGTTTTGCACAAAATATAGTTCTTATCGTTCATCGTATCAAACATGCTGCATTAAAAATAGTACATTTGTTACATCAAACAGGTAAAGATATAAAAAAAGTTTTTAAAAAGCTGGGAAAATTAAACAAATGTTCGTTCCATAAACATTTAATTATATTTAAATAAAGCGCGTAAACGTCGTTGTTTTCTTGAATTATGCGTTACAAAAAAAATGAATGGGAGTAGAATATTTATTATTATTATTATTATTAGTATTATTATTATTATTATTATTAACTTAGCATCGCTTGGCTACGGTCCCTTAAATCATTCCGTTTTCTCCCCGAGGTCTGAGAACAGAAAGAGGATTAACTTGTGAACCAATGGAAATAAGAACTTTAACGGGACGTAAATCTGCCCACTGTCTCTTTGTGAGGACCGTCTCTAAAGCAATTAAAGCGAGAAAGAGTTTCTTCTCAGCGCCTCTCCACCTAAAGCTCCTTAGAGCGACCAGAGCTGTCCAGCACATCTGAGGGGCTTAAACGCCAAAAAGCAGCTCCTATTACCCCAGTGTCCTGCTCACTACACGGTGGGCAGGCCAAACAATGACCCCAGCTGACCAACACCTCCAAATATAAATATATTATACAAAAACCCAGTCTTTAGAAAAGTTAGTGAATTGTCAAAGAACTGCACTAAAACTAACATCAATACTTTCAAAATGATTAATCCTATTTGTTAACTAATAAAATGATTACCTGCAAAACCTTAAATTAATACAGAGACAACTTATATAGGTCATGTCCACTGGTTAATTAAACTGAATGTAGTAATTATAAATAATTAGGTAAATAAAAATGAAGATGTTTTTGGGAAAGTCATCTTAGAGGAATCATATGTTTGTAGTTTTTAATATCCCATAAAAAATATCCTTCTTTATGGCACAATCATGTGTCTGTAAAATATCACCAACATCAGCCTCTATCGTAGCCTCACATTAACAGAGCAGTGCGCTGCCTGCTTTCTAATGGAGTGCAAGGAAAAGGTAGAAGATCATGCACATTCAGCAGCAGTCCTTCCACAGACCCACTGAATATTTACACATCGTAACTGAGTGTAGATTTTTACTTGGAAACTCAAAGCCGTCGGTGGATGCTCATGTACACAGGTTTTCTGGTTTTTCTTGCGAAACTTAGTTTACCAGGTGTGACTTAATAAATAATGTTTTGGCAGCTTGACAGTGGTGTTCTGCAACTGTTGCTGTTGAATTGTTCTGTATTGATTTAAGGTCAAATGTCTCGGTCTTCTCCAAAAATGGACTCGTATGTCAATTAATTCTCAGTGAATGAATCTCCCTGTCTTATTTTGCCTTGTGTTTTTACACATAACAACAACGGCATCATCCTTCCAGCCGGTGAACTCCTGCTCTCCAATAGCTAATTAATACTACTAATGATGTTTCCGCAACTTCATGAATACATTAGGTCTGCAGCCCAGTGAGCCTCAGCCTCCGCAGCTCTATTCAAGGGTATTTCAGCATCTGTTCATCCCACAGCAATTAATCATTTTGATGTGTAGTTTAAAATCGACTTCTTGCTGGAGACCCTTTTTTGACAAGAATAACAAAGCAATTTGCCAAGAGCAACCTTTCAGACACGTAATTAGCAACGCTCTCACAGTAAGACTCGACTCCCGATGTATTTATTAATTTATTAAGTTATTTATATATTTTCTAATAGGTTAGATAAATTAATTTTAAAAGCTTCCGTGGGTTTTTTTAAGTGTATTGTCAGCGCACATCTCCGTATCCCTCCGAAATCCCTTTCATTAGTGACAGGATCTCAAAATCTCCTCAGCAAATCCCTCCTTTATAAGTTTTTAACCTGTCAGTTTATTCTAAATGCTGCATAATTCACCCCATCACCTCTCCCTGTCCATTCCTGTCTCTTTTTCTCCTTCCTTCTTCTCCCTCCTTGCCTCTCTCCTCTCCCTCTTTCCTCCATTCCTTCTCCTCTCTCCTCTCTCTGGCCCGGATCCCTCTGCACAAGGGCCCCCATTGTATATTCCTAATCCAGAGGCAACACAGCTTTAGGGACATGCAGGGATAAAAGGCCCATCAAGCCCACAACTTTATGGGGGCAAATCTCTCCTTAATCCTTCGCTTTATCTAAACAAAAGCCCCTTTGCTTTAATCCACCTATGTGTTGAAAAAGAGAGAGGAAAACTGGAGAGAGTAGCAGAGAATGGAAGAGAAGGAAGAAGGAAGAAAGAAAAGGAGAGGGTGAACGGGAGCAGGAAAAAAAATCTCACACTCTATACCAAAGGGGGAGAGATCATAGAGGCAGGGTCAGAGTTTCCAACAAGAGCTGAGTAACACAAGATTTTCACTTTGAATGTGTTAACTGTAACACTGCACCAGTGAGACCACGGTGAGCCACAGTGAAGCGGCGCTGCAAACAGTGATTATTTTTAAGTTCAGTTAATCAAATCTGGAATGTGCACCGCACTCTTGTTAATGTATAAATACACATTCACGTAGAGCAAAAAGTCCAATGTGTCTTTTTGTTAATCAGTGTCGGTTAATTAAAATTAAATGATTAAAATGATAGAACTAAGGCCATTGCATTTAATATGTGAACTCTTTGTGCAGTTAGTTTAACTCCTACTGGTGCAAAACCAGATCTAAATCAATTATTCTAATATAATGAACTTTCTTTCCCTCTTAAATTTAGTTCAATGTGGCACTAAAATAATTCCAAATTGTTTTGTAAAGTGTAGAAGATTAGACTGAGATGCATTCATGATAAAGTAAATGATGTTAGACTTATTCTAATGATACCAAACGGTGAAGAGGTAGAGGTAGAGCCAAAGACCAGTGATATTATCTCTGTTTGCCTCAGGTGTGGTCTCTCCTCTCAGCCCCTCAGTTAATATTGACGCTGAATGTGCACCGGCTTTTCTCAACTTCCACTACAGAAACGGGTGCAGGGGGCCACATCTTGAGAGGCGATGACAAAGTTAATGCTCCTCAGCGGAGCCAAAATCCCCCTCACTTCCTCTGAAACATCTGTCTTTACCACAGAAAATCCCACTTTATCTGCTACAGCGAGGCCAATCAGACCCTAATCTTGAGCTGGGTTTTTAAAAGACTGAGGGCTCACATAGTTTAAGTCTCTGCTCTGGGGATTAGCTGGTGAGACTACCTGACACCTGCCCTGTCATAGGTAAATATCAACACAATGATTTGAGCTGATTCCAGCTGTGCAACGTATTGTTTTGTAAATATAATCTATGTAACGTTAACCGAGGCAGTTAGGTCATTTACGACGGCGTCGATGGAAACTCTATTTTCAGTCCGACTCAGATTCAAGTGTCTGCTGCTGTGTGAACCTCCATGCAGGAGGTCCGTAGTAGTAAAGCTGTAGTTCAAATGTTAGCTGTTGGTTAGCTAGAAATGACACTAACATTTTGCCTATGATATACGCCTCCTTTTTGACTTTAAGCTCTAAGCTAAGCTATGACTGCTAGACATGGTGTCGACCATTTATTTGTACTTTGTCTGCTTTTCTGCTTTTGGTTGTGAGGAAGAATATGCGAAAATCTCTCCTCTCCACCGTCACTGATCCGATACTGTCCTGTGGTTTTACTTGCACACGAAAGCAACGCCGTCACATTCTGAATGGCGTTCATCCTCCAGCCTTCATTATCACCCCCAATTACTGCCTCCTCGTCGGCTCTCCTCTTTCCTAATAGCGCTAACAAAGAGCTGATGAAGCAAATAGTTAGAACAATTTAGTCATTTAGACACAATTAAGACGATCCGATACATTCCGAGTGAGACCAAGGAGACTAGCGGAGTAGAAATCCAACGAGCGGCCACCTTAGCCACGCACAGCTC